GAAAGTCTCATTTAAATCTAAATATCTTTTTATTATAAATTGATCATCATAAAATACTAGCCTTTTAAAGTCATATTTGGGATGCAGGAAAAGCGTCAGTTTCACCGGCCCTGCTCCTGTCTGTGCTGTTTCTTCACCACGCCTTGGATTTTTCCTCCCTCTCAGTCTCTCCCAACCCTCCCCCAACTTCTTTACAGCATTTATTTGGTGAAGGTCAGTTATGGCTTCAGCGAATGAGTGGTCTGACCTCAAGTTATTAATAAGAAATAAACGTGTACAAAAATACTTTGCTCATCAGAAAGCGGAGTTTGTTTTCCGTAAGCTATTCCATGCAGAAAGGATTTGGACAGAGCCATTCACTCTGAGGAAAGATGACTTCACTTAAGACAGCAGTTTCTTTTCAAATTCCTTTTTCATACTGTCTAGTTTAGATGGACTTTGCAGGTCTTAGGCCAATCTTCAATAGAAATTCTTTGGAGCAGTTAATTGACAGCCCTGTCCCCTTCTTAGTTGTATTACAAAAAGAAGCATACACTTAACACCAACGACCCATCAGGATGCTTGAACTGTCATGACCAGTTTCCATTAAAAAGCTGAGAAGTACATAACACTCAGAAAGGAAGCAAAGGCATCTTCACTCTTTGCTGCTTTTTCCCCCTCTAAAAAATTGTTACAAAGTCTTATGCTTAAACAGAGACATAGAAAAATCACTGTCTCCAGTTATTTACAGCAAAAATTACAGAGACAGCATACATTGTATTAGACCTTCCACAAGCATATATTAAAAGTAATTACATCTGAAAAAATAATTTTATTTTTCCTCTACATTTCTACAATACATACTCAGTTTTCTGTGGGTTTAGTTTTCATTCTTGAGTGTGTATTAATGGGGTGAAGGGAACGGTGCTGTGCTTGGGTGTGGGATTTGTGGCTTTCAGACATACCTCATGAGGGTCTGTGGATGCCTGTGCTGGTGGCATGAGAAAGCTGGCCATCAGCTGCAGTCAGAACACGAATGGTGTGCGCCTCATGTGGCCAGCTGGGATGCAGACACCTGCATTCCTCCCAGCTGGCTTATTCAATTCCAGTAACCCTTGTGCTTTAGTTTTGGCTATGAGAACAATCAATGCTGGTCTCGCTGATCCATGGGAAGTTGTGCTTATGGTCATGCAGGAGGCAAAGATTACTGTGACCAATTCACTTCAGAGGAATTTCAGCAGCTTAGGAAAGCGTGCACAAATAGACTGCCTCACTTGTGGCAGTGGAGCCTGCTGTCTGCACTTCGGAACAAGGAGACCAGGCTATCTTGATGACAGAATAAATTGCTCAGGAACGTACAACTGAGGGAAAGCAAGCAGTGTCACAGACTTGAAGTCACAAAAGGACATGTGTAGAGACTTGGAAATAGGAAAATTTCACACCTGACTTTCAGAAGGAAATCCAGCGCCTTGGCTCTACGACAAAGGCGGCTCTAGCAAGACAAGAGGACGTGCCTTCCGCGAGCCATCATTAAGTTGACTTGCCTTTATTTTTAGACGGCTGTTTTGTTCAAGTTGCTTGTTATTACATCCTTGAGTAGTGACAGGTAAATATGGAAATGAAATTGAGGAGACGGGTAAGTTGCCCCTCACCCTCAATATTAGCATTGTTCTAATGTCACCCTTGGTTGAATCTGGCCAGACTTGCTCCAGCTAGATATGATTTCTGATGCAAACCAGAGGAGGCAAGCTGGCGAACTATGGTCCTTCTCTGCTCAGAGATCTGTTTGTTTGTTCTGCACTGAGCTGGGAATCAGCTGTCATCATTTACAATCGGAGAGAGCTTACAAAACACAGAAGCTTGGGCAGCATACACACTCAGCTGATGGTGCGGTCTCATTGCAGATGGGGCCTTTCCTTGCCAGTTTGCCAGGGCACTGTGACACTCATTTGCATCCACTCCTTGCCATTTTAGGGTCTTGGATTTCTATTTTTTGCTTTAAATAGGCATGCACCTCTGGTGCTGAAACTTGCCCCCCCCCCAAAAAGAAAAGGTTGTCATCTCTTTTCTAAAAGATCCCTATGACTCCCCACACCAGGCCCTTCTTCTGGTTGTGCTTGTACCTGCAGTCCCGCAAACAGAACATCAAATAGCACTTTATCTAAAGCAAATGGTGACTTCCCCTCTTCTTTATAAGGGACTCTGTGCAAAGTTCCTCTCCGGATGCACGTTTTAGCATTACTACTAGCTATGGAATGGTGCTCTTCAGACAGAGGACAGATGTCCTTGCCTGAACCTACTGCCCATTGTGGTAATTTCATTAGAGACAAAAGTTTACACAGAATGAAAAAGAGCCAGGAAGAAATTATTTCTTCAATTTCTAGCAGCAGTATATTTTTCCTGCTTCTGTAATAAAAATTAAGAGCATGGAATGACACCAACGTTACTTATTTCTGGTGTTTGTGAAAAAAAAAAACTCACTGGGAAATTTTAGGTTGTCCTTGGGATGAGAGGATTCTTTTAGAACTTGAGCCCGGCACACACAGCATTGTGGAGAATCAGTGAGAGCTGGCTGTCTGCATGACTTCCTACAAGTAGTTCAGCTTGACTGCTGGGAAGTTACCTGGACTGATGTCCCTTGGCACCTCTCCATAATATCCAGTTTAGTGCAGTTTAGAGTCTGTCTTCCAGTCTGTCAAAGCCTAAGATCACAGTATTCTCTGCTTGTTATTTACTCACAGGTCTTTATTCCAGAGCCCTGAAGAAAGTGTTAAGACAAAGGAAATGTAGAGAGAGTGTGTTTGTAAAGTAAATCTCCACCATCAATGTCTAATCTGGAAATAAAAGAGCCACAGAAAAAGTGACACACAGCTCAAGTCGTAGACAGCACAACCGTGTGTGAATGTCAACCCAGATTTGAAATCTAGGTTTTCCTCCAAAATTTGCCTTTCTTTTAACAGACACGGAGCTGGAATTCCCACAGCTCTTCCGCCCTTGTCAGCGTCGTCTGATGCCAGTTAGACAGTTGTATCTCCTCTGCTTAAGACTTACTTAGGAAGCTTCGATCAGCTCGGAGATACGTGGGGCAGCTGGGTTATTTGGTTCTTTGCACATATTAGAAAATGAAGCTTAAGTTGTCTTTACTCTTGTGTCACTTTTAGGCAGGTCCCAATAATAATAATAATAATAATAATAATAATAATAACAACAGCATTTTGTTCAGTTTCTGACATGAAGCCACTGTGGTTGGTCTGAAAGCCTGTCAGGGAGGGTCTCTCACTGCCATTTACATTTTGTTGCCATTTTCCTGTTTTTTTTTTTTTTTTTTCTCCCTTCGTGATACATTTTTCTTAAACGAATCATCCCTGAGTGGATTCAGTGCAACATCTGCATTAAGCAGTGATTGTCATCTACGAGGCGTGAAGGAGACACAGATCCGGGTTCCTTCTTCCAGCACACACCTCACCACGAGTGCATTTTGAATATCGGCCAGTTCTCAGGGGAAGGAACAAAGTGCTGAAACTGTGTGTGGTAAAGAGAGTTGTTCTTACTGAAATTTCATGTAGTCACTGGAGATGTTCAAAGAACAGCTTTTTAAGGTTTTGTTACCATCAAAAACATGACTTGACTCTCTTTTAAGGGAAAATCTGGCAACTATAACCAAATCTGGAACGCTCTCCTCTGGACAGAAAGTGGGCTGAGCCTGTACTGGTTTCCACTGCTTGGTTCTGGTTCAGTTGCTAGCTCTGTTTCCTGTCCCTTTGCTTCTAAAGGTTCTTGCTGCCCCAATGAAATGCTTGCACTAGTGGAAATGACACAAATTCGAAACCAGTACCTCCTGAGGCAAATGTGGGGAACAATCTTTTTCCTACATCACCCATGGGACAAGGGAGGAAAAATTTCTCATCTACTTCATCAATTGAGCCGATTTAAATCCTCTAAGGTAAACTGGAGGCAACAAATGAGTCCCTCGGCAGCTGAGCGGGAATTAGAAGCTGACAATGGGAAACACTGGGCCAACAGAACAATGAAAACAAAGTTTGACATAAGTTCAGAGCTCAAAGGGGAACACCAAGTAGACACATTAAGCATCGCCTATGGTAAGCCAATCATAAAACATACATTGCTTTTGGAAACGGCTTGGTTTAATTGAGTGCCTTCCATTACCCTGTTTTCCTAGCAATCAGTAAAGTAATCTTTCCATTAGAAGGAAATATGACTCTTGGAATTAATTCTTTATACAAAGAGCTAGCAGGAGTGACATTTACACCAAAAAGAACTGAGTCCCTATAGCAGCATAATAAGCAGTCTACAGCTGTCTTCTCAGAACCAAAGGTAATTTGGTTCAATGTAGTTAAATTAATTGAATATAACAGTAGTTGAGAAAGAGATTCATTATTTTAAAGCCTTTTTGTTTTCCCCCATTGGCTTGGAGTCCATCAATCATGAGGTAAGAAAAGGCTCTGTTTTCTAAAAGGAAAAGCATAACACTACTGTTTGATCACCATCAGTTCTGAGGCATCTTGGACATGGTTCCCAACCAGGAGCTTCAGGAGAACATAAGAGACAGAAAAAAATAAAAGTTTCACTGATGGAAATTTAGAAAGCAGACGTGTGTGTGTGTGTGTGTGTGTGTGTGTGTAGGAGAAAAGGGTAGGTCATTAAAGCCAGGGCTGGGCTATACTTACAGGAGACCATAATTTTCAGTGTCTTATAAGTTCTCTCCTAGCTTCCTCTGTGAAAGTCTCACTTTGGATTAGATAATACAAAAGACATAGGCTTTATAGAAGTGGGAAGAACTAATGGCTTCAGGTCCTGCTTTTCTGGTGCTTAATCTCACAGGGGAGCAAGCGGAGAACTTGCACAGGTCACTCTTGCACTCTGTACTTTCTGTAGTTAGAAAAATTAACTATGGTGGATGGAGGATACCATGTCAAATTGCACAGGAAATCATTTCAGCACTGGAGTATACTAGCTCCATAGACAAAACATTTTTTTTTCTAAGCTGTTAATTGTTAAAATATTTTTATAATATAATATTTTGGAGTTGAAAAAATTGGAGGCCTCAGGCTAAAACATAGAAAGTCCTATTTTCTCTTATATTACTGATTTTTTCTAACAAATCAGAATGAGTAGGTGTATAATGAATTACTTCTTTGCTTGTTCTATTTCTTTCTGTTGTTTGAAAAAATGGTTAGAAAATGTTTACATAAAATGGCATTGGGGCCTTGGATTATACTTTTACTCTATTTTTTTTTTTCTAAAAAAAACATTGCTGGTGGTCATAATCTACAAACTGCATGTTTTTGGTTGAAGAAATAATGAGCACCAAAGTCAAGGTTTTTCCACAACTGGAAATACAAATCCAAAGAGAAAAAACAGTGTTTTGTGTTCTGGTGAAAAATAGGAAATATCTATTGTTCGGTCAAAAAAGTCCTGGACTTTGCACTATTATCTGCATCCCAATTTGTAAAACAGGAAAATGGCTCCAAATGCCTTAACCCCCTCAGTATGTGTCATCTTGACAAGGCTCTGAAGTCACTGATAGAAATGGCATCTTTAGAGAGAGAGGCTATGCATTACATTGATTCCTTTGTAGACTCACTTCTGAAGTGGTACCATCTTGCCACGACTGTAGATGAAAACTCTGGAAAAAACCCTGATTGTCTAACATAAAAGTAATATTTCACATGGAAATTAAATAACATAAGAACGCCTGCCTGAACTGCCATTGCTAGTGGGCATGGTATTTTAAGCTACAGTGCATGTATGAGTAATCGTCATATATAATATTCTCACATATTATATATTCATTACATACATGCACAGTACTTTCCAAGACAGTTAAAAATTTCCACATGCATCAACTATCTAAAAACATAGAAATAGGTAAGCCTATTAAGTGAAATTTTCTTAAATTATATTTGAACAATCAACAAGAAAAGTAATCATGTAAAGTACCTCTCTGTTCTCGTATATCTACAATAAAATTCTATAAACAGTTGTCTCCAAAACATACCCGAGTAAAATTAAAAAAAGATAACACCCAGTGTCCTATATTTGTATATTTATGGTCGTTTCAAAAACAAACAAACGAGAGAGCCCCACTCAGGTGTGTATTTACATTCTTCAAACTGTAGCGGTGAAAAATAATTCTATTAAGTGCAGGACATTCCTAATGTTGCAGTAGTGACATTTTTCTTAAGTCTTCATGAACACATTGCTTTTGTCTTAATGGTGATGCATTCTGTGGCTATGAGACAGTTTCCGTCCCCTTCATTTGCAGACCGTGGCACAGTCAGGATTAAAGAGCTCCTTGTATAATGGAGGAAACAGTGTATTCACTATGTCTGGATGAGATTGCTTAAATACCTGCAGCTTCTCCCCATGCAAGTTGCAAACTGCCGTGATGGTTGGTATCTTGGCTATTAACTGTAGAACAGAGAGACAGAGGGAGACAAAGAGGGAAGCTCATTAGTGGGCTGTCTTGTGAATTAGTGTCTTTTTGGGGTTCATATAAAGGTAAATGGCTTTGGGAAAAGATATTCACAAAGAAAGAAGGTTCACTTTCAGCTTCCCTTTAGAAGAAAACAAAAACATACCCCTCATCCCATGGTTTAAAGGAAAAAATTCCAGCGTAAGCAAGCAAGGAGGGCTAAGCCTCCAAGTTCTTTGTTCTTACATAAGTGTGCACAAGAGGCCATCTAGTTTCTGAGTTGTGAGTGGGTGTTCTTCCGCAGGCAGGTTGCCTCAGCAGGAATCCTGCTCCAAAATGGTTAAGGCACTGTAACTGTGACTATCTCAGTCTTTTCATTTGTAAAATGGGCTTGTTAATCTATCTGCTTCTTTGATTTATGTGGACTGAGTAAGGTGGTAAGAACACTGCAGGTGTGAAGTTATTGTTAGCTAATGTTATTATTATCACCCATCATTCCCTGCAGACTTTTATGACATGAATATTAGATTTTTAGCTTTGGAAGATGATAATATTAGAAAAGTAAAAGCAAGCTGGAGAGGTATGAGGTAAAGGCAGAAGGAGGACTGTAGGGAGGAAGAGGACCAGCAGGAGGGGGGGGAATAGGACCAGCAATGGGGTGAATAAGAGCAAAGTGCAGGCTGTACATGCATGAAGGTGTCATAATGAAGCACATTATCATACTAATTAAGGAAATCTGTCTGAGGCGTGATCCACAATCATCAGTAATACCTGGAAGTCAAACTCACTAAATCCATCTGTGCTCCCTAATCTCATTGCAGTATGATATGTAAAATGAAACTTACACTTACTCAGGAGAGTCTGAGAAGTCCCTGACACTTTGATTCCGTAGGAAAGTATTTTAAAAGCTAGTGGAAGAATAGCTTCTTTGCACTAGGTTTTGATTAGATGCCTTCCCCTTCCTTTTTTGTGCAGATTGAACCTGGGGCCTTGTGCATGCCAGGCAGGTGCTATACTACTGAGCTATATCCCCAGCTAGACACTAGGTTTCATACACACACACACACACACACACACACACACATACACACACACATATGTGTATATCCTGAAGACAATGTTTTATAGTAATTTAAATGGTCCACATTATGCTAAATGCTATCTATATAGACCTCAGGAGATGAACATTTCCAGCTTTTGACATACTTAAAACTTAGGATCACTTCATATCTATTCTTTAGTATCAAATTACCTTAAATGAATGTCCTTGTGACAATATTACTATGAGGATTAAGTCCTCCTACAGAGGACAGTCACTAAAATAAGTGTGATAGTTCATAAAGCTAATTAAAGATGCACACTGGATGATGACAAAAGACGATTAGGTAAACTCATCTGAGGACCTGGTCAGAGCACCACACTCCTTCCTCGTCAACAGGAATGCATTTCAGCCTTTGAAATGAAACAGCAAATAGATACTTATTTTGTGGTTTTTCAAAATCAAAAATTTCCCCTCTTCCATTAACTTTCCTCTTTAAGCATAAGTATTCTATAACCATGCTGTGAGAAATTATAAACAGCATCAGGAGCAGAGTTGTGATCTAGAACACAACTTTATGATGTGAGGCGTCAAACATTCAAAGATGTTTGAGGCTTCAGGCTCTGTAACCTAGCCATGTCCACTGCTGTCTGAAGAAAGGCTAGAAATAATAAAAAAGATGGAATTTGTAGAGGATGTCAGATTTTAGAATGAGAATCCAAGCTTTCTCTCTAACACTATGAATTAAATTCTCTTCAAGATATTCCACAACTAACTGCATGTTTATTGTATATCACCAGACACTGGAAAAAAGTCACTAGACATGGTAAATAAAAAATCGTTATAGTTCCTGCCTATAGGGTACTTGCAAAGCCAAATGGGAATTAAGTTATTCCGCCAACTAACAGACAAACTGTGGTGAGAGCCATGAGGGCAGTATCTGAGAAGTGGTGGGTATTTTGATGCTCCGGCTTCTTGTGGCAAGCCTGGCCTGGGAAGGCTTCTCTGAGAAAATGACAGCAAATCTGAGCAGTGTAGGAGTGAGGGCTGATCAGGTGCTGGACCAGGGGTGTGTAACATGCCCAGGATCAGTGGCAAAGGCTCTGGGTGTGTAGTGTGCTGAAGGTAGCTCAGGTTTGTTGAAGCACTAGGTGAGCTTAGGTTTGGGGATGAAGATGAAGAGATGTGCACAGCCAGATTCTTGAAGCCCTCATGGTCTGTGTCACAGTCTTTGAAAGTGTTTTAAACATAAAGATGATCAGAACACCATTCTGAAAGACTCACCTTGAATCTAGGGTGGAAAAATTTATCTTTTCTATGTTTTTATAGATAAACAGTTTGTAAGTGTCCACTTAACTGGAGCCCCTTGGGAAATTATTCAAGCTCTCTTAACCAGCTGCCTCACACAGAAGGAAACTACAACAATTTAGGAACACTTCTTGCACATTACAATTCTCCCTGAAATAGCTATTGAATGCAGAGAAGCTTTGAAAGTATTCTATAATCATCTGCTGTTGAACTGATGATCTGCAGTGCTCCTGAAACTTCCAGATGCAACTCTGAAACGACTGCCATTCTGCAGTGTGATAAGAATCATTGAGGTGCTTCTTCAACGTGCAGATTACTGGGATCCACTCCCTGGACGCAGTTTCAGTATGTCAGATTCCATGCTTGAAACAAACATCCCCCGAGAATTCTTCTGTCATGAGCCCATGGAAAAGGCTTTGAGAAACAGCACTTTGGAGGCTCAGATTTTATTTTAAAAAACTTTGAAAATTGACAAGTAATTCTGTATTCTACCTGACTCAGTTCTGAGTGTCAAGTGGCTCTTTTCAGATGGCAAAGACATTTTCATGTCTACAGTGGGAAGGCTGTGTTTGCATAGTTCTATTATATGATGACGGACAAGTTATGGGTTCCCCATGACATGTAACCAGCACATGGAGAGAATAAAGGCCGTGGTCTTTGAGTCAGCTGCCTGGGTTGGGATCCTGGCACTGCCACTCACGATCGCAGGCAAATTGCTTAATTTCAGCTCCTTATCCATGAGATGGTGTTTGTAACAGTGCCTGCTTCAGAGGGAGGTTGAGAGGACTTAATGAGTCGATACACATATTTTTATAGCCATTTCTGCCACATGCTGATGGTTGTTGTTTTAGTTACTTTTCCAGTCATTAGTTACCTGAGAACAACTGAAGGGAGGACTTTTTGCTTTGGCTCACAGTTTAAGAGGTATCAGTTTATCAACGCAGAAGGAATGGGGGAAATAGGGTTTGTGTCATGGGAGGTCAGGGAGCAAAGAGGAATATTAATGCTCATCTGGCTTTATTTCCCTTCTCTTCTGTCTAGGCCCTAAGCTCCTGTGCCTTTTATTCCCTCAAGGCCTGTAGCCTAGGGGTCTTTGATTTTTGTGCCGGAACCCAGCAGATTCAAGGTTGATATCAGTTAATTCTCTTTGAAGTGCCCTCACAGACACACTGTGATGATTTTAAATCCTATCAAGCAAGCAATGAAGGTTAGCCTTTGCACGTGTCATCTTCCATCTCCATATGTAGCTTCCTTCAGGGAGGGAAAGAGTTAAGGCCATGCTATTCAGTCAAAGGGCCAACTTAGGGTAGGGACCCAACTAAGTCTTTAACCAAGCAAAAAATTTGAGTCTGTGTATTGCATGTTTATGCATAGGAAAATTAGCCATTTGCTCTTATTGAAATGAAATTGCCCTGTTCTGACTTTTTTCTAGCTCCCTGTCTAGAACTTGTAATGCTAATTACTCTTGCCTTTACTTCTCCTTCACATCTCCCATTCATCAG